TAACCGCAAGCAATTCGTTCGCATTGATAATGACTGTTCACAATCCCTCCCCGTGTCATCTGGTGTCCCGCAAGGAAGTGTCTTAGGTCCTTTGTTGTTTCTCATATATGTTAACGATATTGTGGATGTAATTACTGGCCCTGTTCAAATAAGGCTATTTGCAGATTATTGTGTATTATTTAATGAAATAACATGCCGCGAAGACCAATTAGTATTGAATTCCAATGTTTGTAATATATATGACTGGTGTACTAAGTGGAATATGAACCTAGATGCCGACAAATCAGTTTTTATGAAAATAACCAATAAGAAAAATTCTCTATCCTTCCCTTACAACCTTTTGGGACAACTTTTGAATGAAGTTACAGAATATAAGTACCTGGGTCTTACCATAACTAACACTTTAAGTATGAACAAGCACATTTCAGACATTTGTGCGTCATCCTTTCGTAAACTGAGCCTTTTAAGACATAAGCTCAAACATGCTCGGGCAATTGTTAGAATGCTAGCCTATATATCTATTGTAAGACCTAAATTGGAGTATGCATGTATAATCTGGTACCCTTGCACAAAAACTTACATTCATGCACTTGAGATGATTCAGCGTAAAGCGGTTTGGTTCGTTTACTCTAAATACCGTTCGAGCGATTTCACAACCCAACTCATGAGAGACCATAACATACCAACCTTAGAACTAAGACGTAAAATCCAAAGATTAAAATTTCTTATCTTCTCAAGAATAACAAATTGTCAATGAGACCGGAACATTACATCCAACCACTCACCGCTCGCAGAACACGACACCGGCATGCCGACTCTCTAACGCCCTTCAATGCTAGAACTAACATTTTCAAATTCTCCTTTTTCCCGCGCACTGTAACCGAATGGAATCAATTACCAGCATTATTCATAAATAGCACAGACTCAATTGAACATATTGTATCTTGACCTGTATTGTTAAAGTGTTAAATGTTCTTTCTTATTCAATGTTTGAGTTATGTCCTTATTCTTCGCGCTTTTCATGTTCTTGATCTTCTGTTGTCCTTATTACGAGCTTTGTAAATACGTCCCGTCCTGCTTGGGCCCTTCACTGGGCCTGCAGTATTATGTAAATAAATAAATAAATAATGTTGTCGTGTGTCAGCGAGCCTAGAGAGAAAATGATGTGGTGTAGTTGTGGTGGTTTTTGTCATTGCAATGAAAAAAAAGTAGCGTAAATGGTGAATGTCGGCGCACAACCGTAAACAAGGAGGAAAGCTAAATATCCGGTGGTTCGCTGAACAGCGGCGTTGTGCCTAACCGTCACAAACGGCAATGTTTTGTCTGAGTGGTCGTTCATTGGTTGGAATTACATGCATATCATGTTGATTAGTGTGCGATTGTTCCTGGAGCGTTGCAAAGGCCACATGGCATGACGTTGCATTTGTACAGCCTGTCTGATGCGAAAAACGCTGTCTTGTCTTTGTCGCCCTCGTACGTGGGTATTTACTAACAACCCGAACGCAGGCTTAGGCTTGAGATGCACTCGGCACTTTGCAGTGAATCCAGAGCATCGTATATGACCGACATGGGGTAAAAATCCTTGCGGGTAATCTTATTAAGTGCGCTGTAGTCTACGCAAAATCGCACGGAGCCATCTTTTTTCCTTACTAAAACAACGGGAGATGATCAAGAACTTGCGGAGGGACATGTGATGTTCAATTGCAGCATATCAGCGACTATACCTTCAATGACCTCGCACTCGGATGAAGAAACGCGATATGTTCGACGGCATACGATGGAAGTGTCATCAGATTCGATACGATGCGTGATAATGGATGTCTGTCAAAGAGATGAGGAATGGGCATTGAAAAATCTCTTTTGCTTTTGTAGCAAGGCAAGCAACAACTCTATCTGTGAAGGAGGTGAGCTCTGAACTAATAGTCGCAGCAAGAGCAGAAACGCCTGATGAACGTCGAATAGAAAGAAGGTCAAAACAAGCTGGAATAAGCGGGTCAACAGACAAGGCTGGGATTCGCTAACCCAAGCCATTGTGGTGCCTTTAGTAATGAAAATTTTTCTCAGATGTCTGGTTTGTAGCGTAGAAAAGCTCGGAGCTATTAGGGAACCGAACTAGACCTGAGGCAAGGGCTGTACCTCTTGCAAGACAGCGTGCAGATGGTTGGACAAACACGTTACCGGAGTCGATATGTTAAAAGCGATGTTAAATATTTGCTGATTACCTGGTGGTAGCTCGATATCTTCTGCAGCGAGTAAGCGAATGGGCTTGTCATCCGCATGAAGGGCATAGTCAGTTTCTATAATATGAACAGCATTTTCTCGGTAGCAGATTGAAGCGTTCGCCGCAGACAGAAAATCCCAGCCTAATATAAGCTGGCTGGCACACTGAACTCAGCACGGCGAATTGTACAAACTGGAGAAGACCGCCAATGAAAACACGAGCGGTGCACATAGTGGTAGGTCTAATGACGTCCCGTTAAGGGTTTGTGACTTTTCGCAGACGTGGGCAGAGGAAAGGATCATTCACAGAGAAAGAAGCACCGGTGTCTATTAAAGCGTCGACGTACACACGTTATATGTAAAACAGATATCGTATTATATGAACGCACCGGATCGATTTTCGTCTTCTCGTTCGATGCAGCTTTTTCCTCCAAAAGCTGAAGAGGTTAGTTTTCCGGGCGTTGGTTGGTGAATAGCGAGACAGGTCTCAATTGAGACGTAGAACAGCGGAGGGGTTATGGTGAGTAGCGTCTAGTAGAGCGGTAAGGAGAAGCTGTCTCAGGATGTCGCAGTTGGTCACGAGGAGCGACGTAGCAGCTGGATCGTAAGAACGGTGTTGGAAAGTGGCCCCTCTTGTCCCATCATTCGCTTCATAGGGGTCAAATTCATGATGCTCGTCCTGCTGACGCTTCTGACAGAAGCGTGCAATGTGACCTCGATAGCTGCAGTACTAACAGATCAGACGAGGTGGCTGCCATGGGGGGGGGGTGAAAGTGCTGGCTAGGGGCACTTGGAGTTATCGAAGCTAGGGAGCAGGCGTCGATTGTGCAGGCATCGGTTGTATGGCGGGTGGTGAACCAACGAGGACCTTGGCATACGTCGGCTGGAGTCGAGGTACTGGAGAGTCTACATACGCTGGCCTGGTCATGGACGCCAACTTTTCTTTGATAACGCCGGAGGGGGGAGGTGTACTCACGGTCACTGGGAGGCCGAAAGATTACAGCTCTTTCCGTATAATCACCCGGATCATAGCACGTACTTAGCGATCAGTCGTGGTGGTGTTTTCAGGGCTGTCCGGCTGGTTACCATTGGGACTCAACTTCCTCTAGGCGTTGGCACGTGGCAAGAACGTCAGTGACTGTGGCCGGGTTTTGTATGACCAATGCATTGAACGCTGGCCATGCTGATCCCTCTCAATAGATGACGAACCCTCTCTGATTCGTTCATGAACGAGCTGAAACGGTGACACAGAGCAAGCGCATCCTCTATGTAGGAGGTGTAAGACTCACCACGCTGTTGCTTGCGAGCGTCAAGTGTCTTCTACGCAGGGCCTGAACGAACCACCAGGGGTGCCAAAGATTTGGCGAAGCTGCTAATTGAAATGTGTACACTCAGTGATGTCTGTTTCATATTGGAAAAAGCACGTTTTCGCTACGCCTTAGAGATAATAAGAAATATGTTGAAGCTTGACAGGATCATCCTAGGTGTTAGTAGAACTCGCTCGATTGAACTTGTACAACCAATCTTCCACATCTTCACCTCGAAGCCCGGCGTCCTTAGGCTGATCACGCTGGCGCGCAGTGATAATCCACGATAGATAAGCCGCTGTAGCATGGGACGTGGAGGTAGATCTAGGAGCGCCAATTGGCTCATCCTGAGGCACGTTACCGGACACCTGGCGCAGACGACTACCTGAGTAGGGCTTCAGGATGTAGGGCGTGCTGGGAGAGGACGGAAGATCGCTGAGCACACTCCACCACTTGCGATGCAATGGTAAAGGCAACCTTTATTAGGCCCAGAAGACGCAATGAAGCGATCCCACCAGATGCACAGAACCCAGGCAAGCCAAGTTTCCACACCAGAGAAGATGACGACCACTCATGATGATGTACATGTGTCAAAAAGTAGATGTGCCTAATTATTGCCAATAATAATAATAATAATAATAATAATAATAATAATAATAATAATAATAATAATAATAATAATAATAATAATAATAATAATAATAATAATAATAATAATAACATGGTACGGGAGGAAGGCTGTGCTGGAAGGACCGCGTCTTGAAACATGGTAAATAGTGCCAGATGTGTTGAAGCTAGAAAGGTATCAAATAGGGCCCCGCCACGGTAGTCTAGTGCCTAGGGTACTGGCTGCTGACCTGCAGGTCGCGGGATCATATCCCAGCTGTGGCGGCTGCATTTTCGATGGAGGCGGAAATGTTGTTGGCCCATGTACTCAGATTTGGGTGCACGTTAAAGAACGCCAGGTGGTCGAAATTTTAAGAGCCCTTCACTACGGCGTCTTTCATATTCATATGGTTGTTTGGGACTATAAATACCACATATCAATCAAGGTATCGAACAGAAAAGGAATATTTTGTAAAGTCAAATCACTGTTCACCAATTTGAGAAGGCGTTTAGCTGAGTCGGCCCTCCGCACTTGGCGACAACGTGTAGTGGCATCAGTCAAGGCACAGCACGGACTCCCAGCTCGAGCGGCCTTCTTTGAGATAGGCGCCGGAGAGGGCGACGTACTACACAATTGAAAGCCTGTGCTATAATAATAACAATAAAAACATATGTAACTCTATTAGTGTCGAGCTTGCCGAAGTTTGTAACACGGTCACGCAAAGATTGCCTTCGTAGAGTTCCACTGCTGAGTTTACCCGCAAGACGATCACTTTGAGGTTTGAGGTAAGCCCATGAGAATTTCCCCGCACGAGTGAAATCTTCTTCGGGAGATTCACAAACTCGGTGCGCACCATGCGCACTTGCCGATTTCTTCCTTGTCACAGCGGTTGACAAACGCGTCGAGGATGAAGATAACATAACCTGCGAAGAAAAGGTGAGGACACAAATATTTCAGCTACCCAGTGGGTTCCTGGATTACACGGATATAGAAACCCGTGCGGATCCCAAAATAACTTCGTGTTTTCAGCTTTAATTTATGAGCAACCACATCGTCACATTCTTCATGAGAGCTGGCCACTTGAAGTTGATCAAGCAGCCCGTATGGGTGCCATACGTTCCTTGTGTTTTCTTCTAAAGTTAGCCAGTAAATGCATCTTCATCCTCATTATACTAGCTTACCGGACGAACTTAATGAAGGAAGCCTTACGGGTGGAGAAACGTGTCTGTGTTTTCTATTAGAGCAGGTCAGTAACCACATCTTAATTCATAACAATGGCTTAGCAGACTAACTTGATGAAACAACATATCTGGGTGCCGAAACGTCTCTGTATTTAGACCTAGACTTGTCAGTGAGAGCGTCTTCATTCTCATCATGATAGCTTGCCCGATGAACCTGACCAAAGAGCCTTTTCTGGTGTCAAAGCGTCCCAGTGCTTTCACCTTGATTTAGTCGGCAACCACATCTTCATTCTCATCATGATAACTTACCAAAGGAACTTGATGGAAGAGTCTGTGCAGGTGCCGAAAACACGTCTGTTTTTAAATCTTCCTCCTCATCATGATGTTTTACAAAGTGAACTTGACGAAGGAAGCCTTAATGGCGGCGAAACACCTCCGTTTTTGCAACTAAATTTGGAAAGTGACCGCATATTCATCCTAATTATGATAGATGATATTGACATCTTGACCAAGCAAGTCATCCGAGTGCCGAAAGGTTTATGTGCATTCACCTTCATTTGGTCAGTAACCGCATCATTTCCATTATGAAAGCTGACCGGAAGAATGGGACCGAGGAAATTTTGTGGTTGTCGATACGTCTCCGTGCCTTCAACTTGATTTCGTCAGTGACCACATCTTCATCCTTATTGTAATAAATTACCAAGCGACCATCACAGAGAAGCCGTACGGGCTGCAAAACACGTCCGTGTTTGCACCTCAACTTGAGAATTTACCGCATCTTTATCCCCAATATGATAGAAGATATCGAGTATTGACAAAGAAACCTGTACGGGTACCAAAACGTCTCCGTGCATTCACCATGATTTGGTCAGGGACCACCTCCTCATCCTAATCACAAAAGCTGATCAAAAGAACGTGACCGAGAAATCTTTGCAGTTGCCGAAACATCTCTGTGCTTTCACCTTCATTAAGTCAGTGTCTACATCTTCACCGTCATCATGATAACTTACCAAACGAACTCGATGGAGGAAGTTGTAGGGCTACCAAAACTCTGTGTTCGCACCTCAACTTGCTAAGTGACCGCATCTTCATCCTCATTATGAAGGACTATACAATCTGACCAAGGAAGTCGTATGAGTGCCAAGCTGTCTCCGCGCATTCACCTTTATTTGCTCTTTGACCGCATCATTTTTATTATGAAAGCTGACCGGAAGAATGTCACCGAGGAACCTTTGTGGTTGTCGATACGTCTCAGTGCCTTCACCTTGATTTCGTCAGTGACCACATCTTCATTATATTATAATAAATTACCAAGCGACCATCACGGAGAAGCCGTATGGGTTCCGAAGCCTGTCTGTGTTTGCACCTCAACTTGATAATGGACCGCATCTCAATCCCCAATATGATAGATGATATCGAGAATTGACCAAGGAACCCGTACGGGTACCGAAACGTCTCCGTGCATTCAGCTTGATTTGGTCAGTGACCCCCTCCTTATCCTCGTCACGAAAGCTGATAAGAAGAACCTGACTGAGAAATCTTCGCAGTTGCCGAAACGTCTCTGTGCTTTCACCTTGATTAGGTCAGTGTGTACATCTTCATCTTCATTATGAGCACTTATGAACGAACTTGACGCAGGAAGCCGGGGGGGGGGGGGTACCAAACCTCTGTGTCCGCCACTCAATTTGGTAAGTGACCGCAGCTTCATCCTCATTATGAATGACTATACAAACTTGACCAAGAAAGTCGTACGAGTGCCGAACTGTCTCCGTGAGTACACGTTGACTTAGTCACTGCATATGCTTCGTTGTCATAAAAGATGGCTATACTGTATTCGCCACTTTAGTTCACCTGGCGTTTCTTTCGTGAGCTATACGCTATGTCGATACTTGACTTCTTTATTGTTCTTTGCATTTATTTTGTACGCATTTGGATATTTGTGACGGTTACCACCGTTAACTGTGTTTACAAATCAACATTACAGCACCCATTAAGAAGCGACCACCCGTTTCTATAAGGACTTGCTCTAGCTACACGTCCACTGCGCTCACAGCAGTAAAGAAATGGTTAAATCAGCTATGAGATCGTTTTATCTTATTCTAGGGATGAAGCATATGGTAGGTTTTCTTGTTATTAGCGAGATGTGCTGCTTGCTTAGCCGCACCTGCTAAGCCTAATTCGCCGAGGCAGTATTCAAACTCCGTCGCTAGACCAAGAATACTGCAGCTTCAAATATCGGCCATGAAGACTCGCGCAGCGTTCTCTGCGCTTTGAATCCCTTTTTAGTCAAAACAAAAAAAGGAAAAAAAAACAATCGTTCCTTACGAGAGCCACGAACAGCGTCGGAGAGAATCAGCCACAACGTCAAGCTGTGCGCCGGCATGTGATTCTACCGATCTTCTGCAGAGCAACAGATCTACGCTTCTTCCGTTTCCCGCTGTGGTTGATTGTTCCCGTTGTAGTGGTTTATAGCTTTACTGCACTTTGAAATTAATATATTAGTCATATTAGGTACAACTTGGTGAGCAGACGCCGTGAATCGGGTGAGCTGGTGACATGGCGCGAATGAATACATGAGGAGGCGCTAAACGCCCCTCCTGTTTGCTGAAGGGTCTGTAGCCTCCACAGTGCTGAAAGGAAGTTCTGAAACAGAGTATAGTCAGCTTAACCAACCAAGCCGTACGGGTGTCGGAACGTCTCCGTGCATTCACCTTGACTTGGTCAGTTACCTGATCCTCACAGTCATCATGGCAACTGATCAGACGAACTGGATCGAGGCTGCCCTGCCATGGAGGTCTAGTAGGTTATTCACTCAGCTGCTGACCCCAAGGTTGCGGGATGGAATCCCAGCTGCGGCAGTTGCATTTTTGATGGCAGCGAAAATAGTGCCGGCCCGTGTGCTCAGTTTGGCTATACGGTAAAGAACCCCAGGTGGTCGAAATTTCCAGAGCCCTTCACTACGGCGTCTCTCATAATCATATTGCCACGTTCCAAGTTTTTGTTATCGTCCCAAAACACCACACGATTCTCAGCGCAAACCGCGCCTGCAGTTTTCGAGAAGGTTCCGGACTGTAGTAGATCATTTCGATAAGATCACGCCCACTGTGCGAACGGTACAGATTGTTCTGGAACCGACGCCACCTCCAGCAATAACGCTAGAACATTCGACGGCAAGAGTATAAATGCCGACGCGCTTCGCCGCTTGTCAGTTGTTGATCGAAGGCCGACGCTCCGTTAGCCGCTATCAGTCCGAGACTGCTATCCGTGCGGAACTGTTGCTGTAATTGGACATTCCGTTTACCGGGCACAGGTTCGCCCAAATAAACAGTTAAATCCCAACACGAAGTCTCCTGTCTTCGGCCACGTCACGACCCCGTGACATCTGGTGAAGGTGCTGCTTCGTTCATATACCGCACGCCCACGTCAAGCCGTGAACCCAGCCCACGTCGCGTAGAAGACACCGACGCCAACCAGGAGCAGCGAACAAGCCGCCGACAGCAAGGGCTACCACAGGAGTACGGGTTTCTACAAGACAAGGCGCGGAAGGCCAAGGCCATGACAGCGACTGCAGCGACAATGACAACCGCAGCAGCCCAGCCCACGAGTGTAATGCATCAACCCAGGGAACCACCAATTTTCCATGGGTCATCGTTCGAAGACCCGGAGTCCTGGCTAGAAACATACGACCGTGTGGCCGCCCTCAACCACTGGGACCATGACGAAAAGCTGCGTCGTGTGTTCTTCTATTTGGAAGACACCGCAAGGACCTGGCTCGAAAATCGAGAGTCCACGCTCCGAACGTGGAATGTTTACTGCGGCGCATTCCTGCAAACATTCGCGAGCGTCGCTCGCAAAGAGAGGGCCGCTGCTTTATTAGAGACCCGGGTTCAGCTACCAAATGAAAATGTCGCCATTTTCACAGAAGAAATGACCCGACTATTCCGTCACGCTGACCCAGACATGCCCGAGGAGAAAAAAGTTCGTTTCCTCATGCGAGGGGTCAAACAGGAGCTCTTCGCGGGACTGATGAGAAACCCACCAAAAACCGTCCAAGAATTTGTAACCGAAGCGACCACTATCGAAAAGACTCTGGACATGCGCACCAGACAGTATAATCGTCGCCTGACTGCAGACTGCGCTGCTGCTCAAGCCAGTAACTCCGGAGACCTGCGTGAAACGATCCGAGCGATCGTGCGGGAAGAGCTGCGCAAGCTGTTGCCTTCGGCGCAGCCTCAAGTGGATTCAATCGCCGACATTGTGCGAGAAGAAGTTCGGCAATCGCTCCAAATTCCCCACGCACCGCTGCCCGAGCCGGAAGCTATGAGCTACGCCGCTGCACTGCGCCACAACGCTCCTCCCCGTCCACGCCAAAACGCCGCCCCATCGCACTTCCGTCGACAGATGCCACCGCCGCCACCACCCCAACCGACGTCATACCGCTCGCCAGCGGCCCAGCGCAGTGCACCGAGGAAGACTGACGTCTGGCGCACCCCTGACCATCGCCCGCTCTGCTACCACTGCGGCGAGGCCGGACACACTTACCGCCGTTGCCAGTACAGACAGATGGGACTGCGTGGCTTCGCCGTTAATGCACCGCGTCCACAGCCAGGAGAACGACCACGTGACATCGCCGACTACCTGACAGGAACTCGGTGGACACCACGAAGCCCTTCGCGTTCGCCGTTGCCCAGCCGCCGCACGTCACCGCACCACCGGCAGTACTCTGGCCCAACGTGGGGCCG